GCAGGCACTGGAGAGGAGAGAAGAACTTTTCCATAATCTACATGAGGAAAAAATTTTAACTGAGCATTTGTCACAGAAAAACAAACAGAAAATTTACCATTAAGACTAAAACTGAAATGGAATCCAGAGATGATACTGCAATCAGAAGGAAGACTGAGAGCTTCAGGTCAGCCTGGACACACAGTGAAAACCTGTCTCCAAAAGAAGGAGGGGCAGAGGGAACTTTGGTGGTTTGAATTGGCATGGTCCCCACAGACTCATGTTTTTGAATGCTTGGCCCAAAAGAAGGGGCACCATTAGAACATACAGTCTTTTTTGAGTAGGTGTGGTCTTGTTGGGAGGAAGTGTACCACTGTGGGGATGGGCTTTGAGGTCTTCTATGCTCAAGCTATGCCCAGTGTGACACACAGTCTCCCTCTGATGCCTTCGGATCAAGATACAGAACTCTCAGCTTCTGCTACAGCATCATGTCTGCTTACATGCTACCACGGTTCCCACTAACCTCTCAAACTGTAAGTCAGCCCCAAATAAATGTTTTCCTTTGTAAGAGTTGCCATAGTTACATTGTTTCTTACAGCAAGAAACCCTAAGACAGAAGCTAGTACCAAGGACTAGGGTACTGCTACGATAGGCCTGACCATGCTTTTGTTTGGAGAAATGTTGATTCTGGAACTTTGGATTTAAAAAGAAGTGGAATACTTTAAGTGGGTTTTAATGGGCCCTATTTATAGGAATACAGAAGAGAGTAGTACTGAGGTTGGTTTAAACTATGGGGGACTGGCTCAAGAGGTTACAGAGGAGAAGAGTTTTAGTATGTGGCATAGAGACTGTTCTTGTGATATTCTGCCAAAGTACATGGTTGCTCTTTTGCCTTTGTCTGAAGAGTATTCCTGAGACTAAAATGAAGAGATTTAGATTAATTGCACTGGGCAAAGGAAGTCTCAAAACAGCCTAGTATAGACTCTGTCATGTAGTTCACTACTATGAAAAGCATTTTGATGAAATATACAAAGTTGAGTAAGGTAAAATGAAAACTATATGGTTCAAAGAGAATAGGACTACCTGGAAGTAGAATGGAGAGCTAAATCCTATGTTCAAGGAGATAAACAGATTAAAGATATTCAATGAAATAAAGGGAGCAGTGACCTCAGGGCAAGATCCTACTCAGCTAAGCTTCCATCCTGTGAAAATGAATTAAAGAACAGTTTAGGTCCAGGCATGGTGTTGCATGCCTTTAATCCCAGCACTCAGAAGACAGAGGTATGCAGATCTCTGAGTTCAAGGTCAATCTACAGAGTTAAGCTTAATTAGTGAAGGAAATCATCGAAAACAGAAAGTGGTCGAAGATGTAATAGAACAAGGGGCCACATTCCAGCTGCAGCAAGCAGCAGAACTTGGCAGCTTTGGCCACCTAGTTATACAGAGGGAAAATAAAAATTCCTGGTTTTGTGATCAATATTAGAGTATCAAGAAATATGGAACACATCATAGTAGATATTTCATAAACACTGGTGAATATTCCTTTGTCTTATTTTCAAGACAAGCATCCTGAAGAAGACAGAGAATGTGAAATAGAGACCAAATACACCACAACCCAAACAAAATGTCACAAAGAAGTATTATGATTTTTTTTTCTATTACTCTGTCTTAAATTCTCCATTTCCTGTTCCAAAACTGAAAGAGAGAAGAATATGATAATATGACAAAAGCAAAGGGGCTCATGAGAAGAGATGAGAAGACGACAGTGGACCTGTACAACCTCTGGAAACTACTGCAATGTCTAATAGGACTCGATGCCAACATGCTTTATGATAAACCCAGTCCTAACACTCAGGTACAGAAAACAAAAGTGCATAAAGATGTGCATCCAAAGATATGTGCTAGGAACCTGCAGTGATACTAGTCACAAAACCTAAATGGAAAATTTGCCCAATGCCTGTCAACTGTGAAACCAACAAAAATGCTTGTATAATACAGTAGCCAACAACCTCAGCACAGGTACAAAACATAAATGATGACTCATAAATACAGCATTAATGAAGTAAGTCAGACAGGATTATTACATGGTTTTATTTCATTCCAAGTTCAAAACAGGCAAGCAGACTGATTTTTTTTTTCAAAAATCAAATAAATGGCCCCATTAAAAAAACAGAAGAGCTCTGCCCTGTCCATGTTCTCCTTCTGGATGCATGCTGGCTATACACCCATTTGTACCAAATGCAGTACACACTACATTTCCAAGTGTGAAAGTCAATGATACAAGCACTCTCATATGTATATTATGTTTCAATCAAAAACTTTTGAAGCAGACTGTTGGGAATTAAAGGAGGTGGGTAAGGCATCGCCAAAATAGTTTTCATTATATTCCCACAGTCTCAAGTTCAGGATTTTTAAAATATCATCAAGATCATAAACTATGAAATAAAACATATAAAATATTAACTTAAAATTATGCAAAGGCCTAGGTTTAATACAATACACACATACAGGTGACCTTGAAAAACAAATCTCAAGGTCGCTGTTTATGGCTAAAAAGATGATATCATGGCTACTGTCCCACAATGTTATCCCACAAAACTGTGTTAAGTTAAAGATACACAAAAGTCCTATCTAAACTACAATGTAAAACTGGGGTGTATATAACAACAAATAGAAATAGGTTAAAGGCCAAATACAACAGCTAACAATTTTAAACATTTATATGGAGAGTTTGTCCAAGTGAACTCAGAAAGAAGACTTTAACATAACAAATTCCAATAGCTGGCAGTGTTGTCCAGTTGTTAGTGCACTTGCCTAACATGGTGCAAAGCCATGGAAGTGAACCTCAGGACTTAAGAAAATGAAACAGACTCCACTTCTTGGTTTGGGCAAGAGGCTGGGAGTGGTAGATGGTAAAGAGGGTGTTTGGAGCTCCCCTTACATGCTTCACATCATACTGCCCATTAAGGGCTTTCCTAGAACATGTGCGTCAGGCCTTGGACACAAAGACACTGTGTTTAAAAAAAAAAAAAAGGCACTTTCTGTACCTTCTGCTTAGAAAACTGATAAGAGTTCATTTTCTTTTAAACAATGTCCATCCTTCTAATTTGTCTGTTTTTTTTTTCTTTTCTTCCTATTTTCTCATGTGTTTCACACTTGGTAAGGAGGGGCAAGCACACCTCTGTGAGTTCAAGGACAACCTGGCCTATACAGCAAATTTCAGGAAAGCCAGTGTATCAGAATTTTCCCTGTCCAATCACTTTAAATATTAATACAACAAGAAGCCTGTGATTGGACAGGGAAAAGGGAGTTTCAGAGATGGGGGCAGAGGCGGAGGAGAGGAGGAGGAAAATGGAGGACGAACAGGATGATTCAGATTTTTCATAGCTTTAAACAGTCACGGGTAGCTATAATATAATATAGGGATAGAATAATTGGGATAACTTGTCTAATCTAGGTGGGCAGCTTGTATCAATTGGCTCTGAAATTACGTGTAGGCATCCTGTGAATTGAGAATTTATTGATATATAAATCTGACTGTTTCATTATAAGCTTCAAGAGTTTTGATTAACTGGGTTAAGGGAACTTGTGATTGCCGACCACAGTGGGTGGATGGTTGAGAAGGAACTAGTGGCTCTGAGGCAAGAGAACTGAAGCTGGGAAGACCACCATTGGTAGCTACATTGGGGCTAGCAGTGGAGGCAGTGAGTCTGGGACTGCCAGGGCAGAGAGTGGCTGGGCATAGCGCAGGAACTTACTGTTCTTTTTAATCCTTCCTGCAACAAGCCAGAGCTACAAAAAGAGGCCGTAATTGCCTCCCCTCAGCAAAAATAATATTAATGTGAAAATTTAATCAAAGCCTGCACAGTGAATAAAATTAAAATGTCCAGATATTACACAGTAATTCCAAAATGTCTCCCACTGGTTCATATTTTGCAATTGAATCTTATTCTCCACCTGTGGCCACTAAGTATGGACTGTGTAAGAGGTGGAACTAGTGGCAGCCAGTCAATAAAGGGGGCCTTGGAAGGCTAGTTTGTCCTTGGTTCTAGTATTACCCTGCCATGAGAAAGAGAAAACCTCTGGCACACAATCTGCTACCAGAAACTGAACTGTTCCTTCCCATGAACAACTGTAATCTGCTCTGCCAGCCAAGTTATTTCTGAGGGGTACTTTCATCAAAGAGACAAAAGTAATTAACACAAATTTCTTTTCTTTTTTTTCAAGTTACAAAGGTGGAACTAGAATAGTCATGATGTACTCACCTGGTGTAACAGACGCTTGAGTTTCAGTAACTGCGTTTTTACAGCTGTGCAATCCTGGACCATGTGCCGGAGGGTCATCTCATCCAGCATCACGGTGTTGTCCGGCACATCCACAAACATCTTCTGAGCCTGGAAAAAGGGGGTCCCTCCATAGCTTTCAAAATGACCCAGAGGAGATTCTCTATAAGGAGAGCCTCTAGAAGGGTGGAGAAGAAGGAAGAAAAAGATATACAATTTAAGAAGAAAGAATGGTACAGCATCACTGCAGAAATCTTTACAACTCAGTTCACAGAGCCTTCATACTCACTGCAATTACTGAATGTTCCTCTGAACAGTACAATCTGCTTAGCTGTTAGCAAAACTGACTTTTGTGATTCCCTAACCCTATCCACTTTGTGTATTTCACACACTGGCTGAATGAACCATCCTTAAGAGCCAAAAACAAACAAACAAACAATGTTCTTGACAAAGCTCTAGCTGTTAGAGCTTTGATCACCCTTTCTGTATTGACTCATCTTGAGCTTCTGACTTGGGGTGGCATCTTAAATGGTACAGAACTCTAGATCCATAGCTAACTGATAGAGCCACACGATTCCTAATGTGAACACACTATTAGACTATCATCTCTTCAATGCCCATCATTAAAGCTGATGGGAGTGATTTTTTTTCCTTCTTTTTTATACTGCCAATAACTATCTTTACTAATAAAGGTTTAAGCAAGGTTTTGCAAGAGTCTGATATACACCATGTATTCCCTAATCTCAAACTACACTTAACAAAAACAAAACCTACTCTTTGAGTCCTCGATAGAATGCTTGCCCAGCATGCACAAGACCCTGGACTTGATTCTCATCACCACATAAACTGAGCGTCTTGGTACAGTCTTACATTCCATCACTACAGGCCAGAGGATTAGGAGTTCAAGGTTATCCTCCATAGCTACTCAGCAAGTTTGACAATAGCCTGAACTACATGCAAGCCTGTCTCAGAAAAAAAAAAAAAAAAAGTTCTTTAGAACTTTGCCTCACAGCCTAAGACAAGAGGAACTTGAGAACAAGCCACTTGGGCTACAAAGCAAAGTCCATCTCAAAGAAAGTTGAATTTTCCTTCAGTTTCACCCTTTAATAGCTATGCAGAACAAAAGAAAAATTCAAGATAATGTATTTCATGGGAATGTAAAATATAACGTGCTAGTCAAGAGTTGATAGCGCTCCGGGCTGGAGCAGACACAGAGTCGGTCTGCTCCCGTCCTGTGGAGAAACTGAAT